AATCCCCTGAAACGTCCCCAAATCCCCCGAAATGTCCCCAAATCCCCTGAAACGTCCCCAAATCCGTTTGTCCCGCAGTCGGAGCAGGTGCCCGTGGGTCACCTGCCGCGCTCGCTGCCGCTGCACCTGAGCGGGGCCAACACGCGCCAGGCCCAGCCCGGGGACCACGTCAGGGTGACGGGAGCCTTCCTGCCCCTGCTGAGGGCGGGGTACGCACAGGTGGCACAGGTGAGTCTGAAACACACCTGAAACACACCTGGGGATACACCTGGGGACACCTGGACACACCCAAACCTCACCTGGACACACCCAAACCTTACCTGGGCACACCCAAACCTCACCCTGAGCTCCCCTTCCTGCCCCTGCTGAGGGCGGGGTACGCACAGGTGGCACAGGTGAGTCTGAAACACACCTGGGGACCCCAAAAACCTCACCTGGGTACACCCAAACCTCACCTGGGTACACCTGGGAACAACCAAACCTCACCTGGGCACACCCAAACCTCACCTGGACACACCCAAACCTCACCTGGACACACCCAAACCTCACCTGGACACACCCTGGTCACACCCTGAGCTCCCCTTCCTGTCCCTGCTGAGGGCGGGGTACGCACAGGTGGCACAGGTGAGTCTGAAACACACCTGGGGATACCTGAAATACACCTGGGGACCCCAAAAACCTCACCTGGGTACACCTGGGAACAACCAAACCTCACCTGGGCACACCCAAACCTCACCTGGACACACCTGGGTACACCTGGACACACCCAGAGCTCACCTGGGCACACCTGGACACACCCAGAGCTCACCTGGGCACACCTGGACACACCCAGAGCTCACCTGGGTACACCTGGACACACCCAAACCTCACCTGGGCACACCTGGGCACACCTGGACACACCCAGAGCTCACCTGGGAACACCCAAAATGCACCTGAGAGTCCAAAACCTCACCTGGCACCTGAAAACGTCCCCGCCCTTCCCCCCAAACTCCCTCATTTCCCCAAAATCCCCGATTTTCCCCCCAAAATCCCAATTTCTCTTCTCAAATTTTGATTTTTTTCCCCCGAATCCCGTTTTTTTAACCCAAAATCCCATTTTTTCCCCCAAAAATCCCCATTTTTCCCCTTAAAATCCCCGTTTTTATTCCCCAAACCCCATTTTTTTTCCCCAAATCCCCGTTTTTTTCCTAAAATCCCTGTTTTTTTCCCAAAATCCCCATTTTTTTTCCCAAAATCCCATTTTTCCCCCAAAATCCCCATTTTTTCCCCCCAAAAATCCGTATTTTTTCCTCAAAATCCCATTTTTCCCCCCAAAAATACTATTTTTTCCCCCAAAAATCCCATATTTCCCCCCAAAAATCCCATTTATTTTCCCCCAAAATCCCCATTTTTTCCCCCAAAAAATCCCATTTTTTCCCCAAAAAATCCCATTTTTCACCCCAAAAATCCCATTTATTTTCCCCAAAAATCCCCATTTTTCCTCCCAAAAATCCGTATTTTTTCCTCAAAATCCC